ATCACAAGAACTATTATAAACTGTAATTATCAGAACATGATTTTTTTTTTCAACAAATCTGCCATCTCCCACCGAGGCAGGGTGACCCAAAAAGAAAGAAAATACCCAAAAAGAAAATACTTTCATCATCATTCAACACTCTCACCTCACTCACACATTATCACTGTCTTTGCAGAGGTGCCCAGATACAACAGTTTAGAAGCATACATAACATACCCCTTCAAACTGCCAATATCCCAAACCCCTCCTTTAAAGTGCGGGCATTGCACTTCCCATTTCCAGTACTACTCAAGTTTGGCTATATTAAAATAACCGGTTTCCTTGAATCCTTTCACTAAACATTACCCTGCTCACACTCCAACAGCTCATCAGATCCCAAAAACCATTCATCTGCATCCACTCCTATCTAACATGCTCACACATGCTTCCTGGAAGTCCAAGCCCCTCGTCCACAAAACCTCCCTTACCCCCTCCCTCCAACCTTTTCGAGAACGACCCCTACCCTGCCTTCCTTCCCCTACAGATGTATATGCTCTCCATGTCATTCTACTTTGATCCATTCTCTCTAAATGACCAAACCACCTCAACAACCCCTCTTCAACCCTCTGACTAATACTTTTATTAACTCCACACCTTCTCCTAATTTCCACACTCCGAATTTTCTGCAAAATATTTGCACCACACATTGCCCTTAGACAAGACATCTCCACTGCCTCTAGCCGCCTCCTCGCTGGAACATTTGCAACCCAAGCTTCACACCCATATAAGAGTGTTGGTACCACTATACTTTTGTAAATTCCCTTTCTTGCCTCTATGGATAACGTTTTTTGTCTCCACAGATACCTCAACGCACCACTCACCTTTTTTCCTTCATCAATTCTATGGTTAACCTCATCCTTCATAAACCCATCCACTGATAAGTCAACTCCTAAATATCTGAAAACATTCACTTCTTATATACTCCTTCTCTCTAATGTGATATCCAATTTTTCTTTATCTAAATAATTTGATACCCTCATCACCTTACTCTTATCTATGTTCACTTTTCAACTTTCTACCTTTACACACCCTCTCAAACTCGTCCACTAACCTTTGCAACTTCTCTTTAAAATCTCCTATAAGCACAGTATCATCAGCAAAAAATAACTGTGTCAACTCCCATTTTGTATTTCATTCCCCATAATTTAATCCTACTCCTCTCCTCAACATCCTAGCATTTACTTCTTTTACAACCCCATTTATAAATATATTAAACAACCATGGTGACATTACACATCCCAGTCTAAGACATACTTTTACCAGGAAGTAATTTCCCTCTCTCCTGCACACCCTAACCTGAGCCTCACTATTCACATAAAATCTCTTTACAGCATTTAGTAACTTACTACCTATTCCATATACTTGCAACATCTGCCACATTGCTCCCCTATCCACTCTACCTTTTCTAAATCCATAAATGCAATGAAAACTTCCCTACCTTTATCTAAATACTGTTCACATACATGCTTCCCCTACCCATTCTAAAGCCTCCTTGCTCACCTGCAATCCTACTCTCTGTCTTACCTCTAATTCTCTCAATAATAACCCTACCATACACTTTTCCTGGTATACTTGGTAAACTTAACCCCTTATAATTTTTACAATCTCTTTTGTCCCCCTTCCCTTTATATAAAGGAACTATACATGCTATCTGCCAATCAACAGGTACCTTCCCCTCTTTCATATATTTATTAAACAAAAATACCAACCACTCCAACACAATATCCCCCCTGCTTTTAACATTTCTGTCAAGATCCCATCAGTTCCAGCTGCTTTACCCCCTATTCTATGTAATGCCTCATGCACCTCCTCCACACTCACATCCTGCTCTTCTTCACTCCTAATAGATGTTATACCTCCCTGGCCAGTGCATGAAATTTCCGCCTACCGGTACATTCCATATGGAATGTACTGAATGTATCCTTAGATGCGCGCACACTGGCTGGCTTGTAAACACTGGCACACACGGGGCAGTTCAGGCCACACATGGCCACACATGGTCTCGTACGAATCGTATCGAATGCCGGGTTTTCCATCGAATGTCGAGGCAAAATTTTTGGGTTAAAATGCATCGAATGTCAGATTTATCAAATATCGATGCCATCGAATGTCGGGGGTCCACTGTATATTTATTTGGGGGACTTAGGGAAGCTGATGAGGCTGATGGAATTTTGAGGGGAACTTCAGATTCCATTTGCCACCCCTAGCAGTCATATGCTATGTTCCTGACAGACTGCTAATCAGATAAAACAACAGTAAAGACAATACTTTACTTGTTTGATGATAGCAAGCATATGAGAGGTTTTTACAAAATAGAAGTGATGCAAGAGGGAAGAGTATATGGAGAGAAAAAGAGAGGTTAAATGAGTGGTGAAGCAATGTAAAAAGAGAGCAAATGAGAGAGTGGGTGAGATGTTATCAACAAATTTTTCTGAAAATAAGAAAAAGTTTAGGAGTGAGATTAACAAGTTGAGGAAGCCTAGGGAACAAATGGATGTGTCAGTTAAAAATAGGAGAGGAGAGTTATTAAATGGAGAGTTAGAGGTATCGGGAAGATGGAAGGAATATTTTGAGGAATTGTTAAATGTTGATGAAGATAGGGAAGCTGTGATTTCGTGTATAGGGCAAGGAGGAATAACATCTTGTAGGAGTGAGGAAGAGCCAGTTGTGAGTGTGGGGAAAGTTCGTGAGGCAGTGGGTAGAATGAAAGGGGGTAAGGCAGCTGGGATTGATGGAATAAAGATAGAATTGTTAAAAGCAGGTGAGGATATAGTTTTGGTGTGGTTGGTGCTATTATTTAATAAATGTATGGAAGAAGGTAAGGTACCTAGGGATTGGCAGAGAACGTGCATAGTTCCTCTGTATAAAGGCAAAGGGGACAAAAGAGAGTGCAAAAATTATAGTGGAATAAGTCTGTTGAGTATACCTGGTAAAGTGTATTGTAGAGTTGTTGAAAGAATTAAGAGTAAGATGGAGAGTAGGATAACAGATGAACAAATAGGCTTTAGGAAAGGTAGAGGGTGTGTAGACCAAGTGTTTACAGTGAAACATAGGTGAACAGTATTTAGATAAGGCTAAAGATGTTTTTGTGGCATTTATGGATTTGGAAAAGGTGTATGACAGGGTGGATAGGGAAGCAATGTGGCAGATGATGCAGGTGTATGGTAAAGGAGGTAGGTTACAGAAAACAGTGAAGAGTTTTTACAAGGATAGTGAGGCTCAGGTTAGAGTATGTAGGAAATAGTGAGATTATTTCCCAGTAAAAGTAGGCCTTAGACAAGGATGTGTGATGTCACCATGGTAGTTCAATATATTTATAGATGTGGTTGTAAGAGAAGTGAATGCGGGGGTCTTGGCAAGAGGTGTAGAGTTAAAAGATAAAGAATCAAACACAAAGTGGGAGTTGTCACAGTTGCTTTTTGCTGATGACACTGTGCTTTTGGGAGATTCTGAAGAAAAGTTGCAGAGGTTGGTGGATGAATTTGGTAGGGCATGTAAAAGAAGAAAATTAAAAGTGAATAAAGTAAGAGTAAGGTTATGAGGATAACAAAAAGATTAGGTGACGATAGATTGGATATCAGATTGGAGGGAGAGAGTATGGAGGAGGTGAATGTATTCAGATATTTGGGAGTGGACATGTCAGCAGATGGGTCTATGAAAGATGAGGTGAATCATAGAATTGATGAGGGAAAAAGGGTGAGTGGTGCACTTAGTAGTCTGTGGAGACAAAGAACTTTGTCCTTGGAAGAAAAGAGGAGAATGTATGAGAGTATAATTTTACCAACGCTCTTATATGGGTGTGAAGCATGGGTGATGAATGTTGCAGCGAGGAGAAGGCTGGAGGCAGTGGAGATGTCATGTCTGAGGGCAATGTGTGGTGTGAACATAATGCAGAGAATTTATAGTTTGGAAGTTAGGAGGAGGTAGGGGATTGCCAAAACTGTTGTCCAGAGGACTGAGGAAGGGTTGGTGATATAGTTCAAACATGTAGAGAGAATGAAACGAAACAGAATGACTTCCAGAGTGTATAAATCTGTAGTGGGGGAAAGGCAGGGTAGGGGTCAGCCTAGGAAAGGTTGGAGGGAGGGGATAAAGGAGGTTTTGTTTGCGAGGGGCTTGGACTTCCAGCAAGCATGCATGAGCATATTTGATAGGAGTGAATGGAGACAAATGGTTTTTAATATTTGATGTGCTGTTGGAGCGTGAGCAAAGCAACATTTATAAAGGGATTCAGGGAAACCGGCAGGTCGGACTTGAGTCCTGGAGATGGGAAGTACAATGTCTGCACTCCGAAGGAGGGAGTGTTAATGTTGCAATTTTATAAACTGTAGTGTAAAGCACCCCTCTGGCAAGACAGTGATGGAGTGAATGATGAAAGTTTTTCTTTTTCGGGCCACCCTGCCTTGGTGGGAATCAGCTGATTTTTTTTTTTTTTTTTCAACAAGTCGGCCGTCTCCCACCGAGGCAGGGTGACCCAAAAAAGAAAGAAAATCCCCAAAAAGAAAATGCTTTCATCATCATTCAACACTTTCACCACACTCACACATTATCACTGCTTTTGCAGAGGTGCTCAGAATACAACAGTTCAGAAGCATATACGTATAAAGATACACAACATATCCCTCCAAACTGCCAATATCCCAAACCCCTCCTTTAAAGTGCAGGCATTGTACTTCCCATTTCCAGGACTCAAGTCCGACTATATGAAAATAACTGGTTTCCCTGAATCCCTTCACTAAATATTACCCTGCTCACACTCCAACAGATCGTCAGGTCCCAAGTATCATTCGCCTCCATTCACTCCTATCTAATACGCTCATGCACGCTTGCTGGAAGTCCAAGGCTGATGTGTTAATAAAAATAAAAATAAAAAAAGTACACAAGCTTAACAAATAAAAATAAAGTTGCTTAAAGAACAGAGAAAATATTTTTAATAAATAGTGAAGTTCTAAATCACATACCAACAGGATTACAAAAGAAACCATCTTCTCCCAAATGATTATGGTGATGAACCTCATTCTCATTTTCATGGTAAGAGGTCTTGTGAACATGGCCCCACTCATTTTCAGTGTTGTACTCTGAAGGGCTTTCTCTTTCTTCATTCTTTTGAGGCAGGTTTACGAGGTCTCTCAAATCAAATATTGGTGTGTCTTCTACCTTTTCTCGAACCTCACTGGAATTTCGATCTAAGATGCTGCTACAGTTAAACACCTCAACAGTGCCATTAGGTGTCATCTCAATACACACCTGTAATAATGTTAGTATGATTATCAATGTAAAATTAATACTATACAATATAATAAGTGTATAAACACGAAAACTACTTAAAAGCTAAAAGAAATGCAGTAGGAATTATAATCTGTTGGCACAACCTCTACAACACTAGTGATGCTGTTATTTACTCAATATGTGAACTACTAATACTCTCTTGCACACTTGCACTTCCCTTCTTGACTCATGGCACAGGCATCCAGCAAGGAACACCTGACAAGGGGATGTGGCAAACACAGAGGTTCATGAAACCCTCCACAGAGAGTAGTTTTTCATAATTCAGAACTTTAATTTCTGTGCTCAGATTCCATGAAAAATAATAGGAATCTTCCCACTTGTTCAATAAATCATGGCAAAAACAACTGAAACCATAAGGAAGATACAGCAGAGAGCACCAAGAGAGGAATTCTGAACCACCACCAGCATGGGTAATTCAAAAGCCTAAATACCTAGATAAACATTGGTTAGGATGAGAGCAGACAGCACATACAGGCCCATCTGTGAGAGCTACCTGGCTTGCTAAATGGTTCTCTAAGTATACCATTCCTAACATTTATGCTAGGAGCCATAGGTCTATGATTAAGATACTAAGTCAGGATGGTTATCATGTTTGATCTTCAGTTTACAGTTAATGTCTGGCTATCAGACACCTGGATCATCAGTGTGATCCACACTAGTGTCATTCTCTGTAAGCCCCAGCCTGTACTGCCTGCAATGACTGCTGCAGTCTGCCTGTCTTTAATGGAGTGATAGTGGAGGGTGTATTGGAGGTAAGTGGGAGGAAGGGAGGGGAGTTGTGTAGTAGCATGGAAGGGTGGAAAGGAGGAAGAGGCAGAAAAGAGACTGGTAGAGTACTTGTGCTAGATGCATACATGTGAGCTGTGGGAGTCCGTGACAAAAGTGAAAAAAAATAAAGGCAACATTCTTTACCAATTTTTCCTGTCAGCCTTCTGCCTGCTAAACCCTGTTCTGCCTACCTACCTGTTCTGGCCAGTCCTGCCCTGTCTGATGTGGCTTGTCCTGCCCTGTCTGATGTGGCTTGTCCTGCTCTGTCTCATGTGGTGTGTCCTGCTCTGTCTCATGTGGCCAGCCCTGCCCTGTCTCATGTGGCCTGTCCTGCCCTGTCTCATGTGGCCTGTCCTGCCCTGTCTGATGTGGCTTGTCCTGCCCTGTCTGATGTGGCCTGTCCTGCCCTGCCTGCTTTGGCCTGTCCTGCCCTGCCTGCTGTTCCCTGCCTGCTCTGGCCTGTTCTGCCCTGTCTGCTCTGGTCTTCCCTGCCCTGTCTGCTCTGCCAATGCCCCTGGAGATTCAAGCTAAAGCCTGTGTTTGTTTACTACTCAGAAAACCCCAGAGAGTTTAAACAACAAAAAGTATCTAAGGGCAGGCTGGGTGTGTTCTGGAGTCTTGAAACATTACAATAAAGCCATGTATTTTAGGGTTTGAATTACAATAGCTTTGACATATGATAAGTCTTTTGGAACAGATTATTATCATAACTTGAGGGACCACTGTACTGTATGAATTTTTTTCATCTACTGGATGTTGCAGTACTAAATGCATATACAGGAGGGCCCTGCTTTACAGTACTTCATTTTAATGTGTTTTGCAAATACAGTGGTTTTTCAATTATACCATTCTTCATTTATTCAGGCTTCCCACAATAAATATATTCACGACTCACTATAAGCTAGGGACAAAAATATTTTTAAGTAAGTAATGTGTGTACTGTACATGCAGTTTTTAGGCCTAGCTCTATTGCTCACTTAATATATGATAGTGTAAACATGTTATCTGGCTTTTTCATACATTTGAAATTGAAAAAAGGCTATGTTTCACTTTACAGCAATTTTTGCTTTACAGCAGTAGCCCAGAACTTAACCTGCTGTATAAGCAGGGCTTCCTGTAACATATTTTATGTTAAAACAGGACACAAAAACAAACTGGATGATTTCCATCTAAGACAGAAAATAGAAAAATACCAGGTAACAGCTCAGCCTACATGTCACCGCTGTGGCAGTGTAAGTGATCCATTTTGGCTGAAATCAAGTGCATATTTCTCTGATACTATTCTTACTACAGAGAGGAAAAAGGCATAGAAACGATGTTAAGTACTAGAAAACCCAGAAAGTGAAGATACACAATACATCTGTAAGCTGTGTGGTATTCCAGTGTGCCTCAAGCAATGTTTTGAGGAATATCACATCTTGATACAGTTGTAATATGGAAATAAAGATATGCATACAGTGTGATATGACAGAAACAATCATTAGATTTAAGATAAACCATAATTCTGTGCAGATATATAATGAATGTTGATATTATTCTTATGGTGCAGTGTTCTTTCCAAGATATGATCAGTATAATTTTTTATCTTTGCTTGAAATCAGGATATTTTCATTGAAAAATGTGGTACTTAGTGTTAACCTGTGCATAAAAAACAATCACACTTTATTTAGCTTAGAAAAACTGGAAAATGAAAAACTAATTGGCAATTCAGAGCTGATGTTACCAACAGCACATCAATTTCAGCCAACTTTAACACTCCATCAAACAGTAAGTTTTTATCACATTCCATTCATTTTAGTCTCATTAGATTCAGAAAAATGTATTCTTGAAAACTGTAAGCTTTTTTTTTCTTTTTTCAAAATTTTCCCACATACACAAGACTTAATTTCTGGGTATGCCACACTTAAGGGGCTACAATTTATTGTACAAAAATAAATGTGAAAGAAATGATGAAATAATGCATGTCCATAGATACAATTAAATCTAAGGATAAAATTTAGCAATGGTGTAATTTATAACTTCGATATAAAATTATAATGGCAGTTTAACCCTTTCAGGGTTGGTGCCGTACTAGTACAGCTTGCGTGCCAGGGTTGGCGCCGTACTAGTAAGCATAAATTCTAGTGGCTTCAAATTAAGCAGGAAACAGCTGATAGGCCTAGATGTGAGAGAATGGATGTGCGTGGTCGGTGTGTGCGGTAGAAAAAAAAATCTGAGACCCAGTGGCGCATTGTGGGAACGCCATTTTAGTACACCTTGTTCACCATGCCTCGCGGCAAGAAGCTCCTCACTCCTCGGTGAATTGGGACACTTTTGTTCCCCAGTGACAGTTCTAATACAGATGAAAGTGCCAGTGAAGATGAGTTTCAAGGTTTTGATGAGGTTGTGACCGAAACTAATGACCATAATACCAGTAATAGTGAGGAAAACCCAGACGACCCTCAGCCTTCCACCTCTGGTGCTGGGCCATCTTGTTCAAGTTCAGTTGTACCAGAATCAAAGAGGAAACTCCTATTTTCCTAAATCCCAGACTCAGATGTGAGCATTGGTGATGATAGTGATAGTGAATATGAACTACAAGCTCTTGAAAACAGATCCAGTAGTGATAGAAAAGTGCAATATTCTCCAGTGAAGTGTCAGTATATACGACAATATATGCACTCTGGTTGTGTGCCATATGCTATTCCAAGGGGAAGGAGTACATCTCAGAGTACATCCCGTGGCTGTACAACAGGAACAGACAGTGAAAATGAAGATGATAGTGTTGCAATTAGGATGGAAAATGTGCATGGTGGTGATAGTGGTGGTGCCGGCTGTGAGGCACCAGCAGTGGGCCATGCTGCCACCCACGCTGCCAGCCACGCTGCCACCCACGCTACTGCCTCAGCTGATCTACAACAAAGGCCACCATCCCCCACCCACCCTCCACACCGGCCTCCACAACCACATCCTCCACAACCACAACCACCTGTCAATATCCAGTACCCACCAGCAGACCGTACCTGGGATCGGCAGGAAGCTGCCAATTTCGTTCCCAATCCCCATCATTTTGATGAAAGTCAAAGTGGAATACGGCCATCTTGTACACTTGGGAACAATGCCTGTGAACTGGAATGTTTCGAGTTATTCTTTGACGAACCCCTGATGGAAATTATTGTCAGGGAACGCAACAGATACTACGAGTACACCATGGCAAACACAATACTTTCACCAAAATCACGTCTACACCAGTGGAAGGAGACAACTGTGGCTGATATGTATCTTTTCTTTGCCACAATAATGCTTATGCCACATGTGTATAAGCACAGTGTCAAATCATACTGGTCAAAAGACCGCCTGATTGCAACCCCAGGTTTCAGTGATATAATAGCAGTTAATTGATTTGTGCTACTATTACGTATGCTTCACTTTTCAGACAAAACCAGGCCTGACAGAAACGACAGGTTATATAAGATTAGGAATGTGTTTGTCTATCTGAAACAGAAATTCAGCATGTATTTTTATCTCTTCAGGAAGCTTGTTATTGATGAGTCTTTGATTCTGTTCAAAGGAAGACTCTCATTCAAGCAATACATACCAAGCAAGAGGAAATGCTTTGGTATAAAGTTGTTTGTGCTTTGTGAATGTTACAGTGGTCTTGAATTAGATATAATTGTGTACACTGGAAGTAATACATTGCGAGATACCAGGAAGTTACTGGGTATCTCCGGTGATGTGGTTAGAATAATGATAGAACCATACCTTGGTAAGGGACATACATACTGATAACTGGTACACAAGCCCCTTACTCAGTGATTTCTTGTGAGTGAACATGACAGATGTGTGTGGCACAGTGCGTGCAAATCATAAACATATGCCCAGGTTTGACGCTGGCACTCGTAGAGGTGAGGTGCAGGCGTTTGCTGCCAATGACATCATGGCATTTCGGTGGCATGACAAACGAGATGTCACACTGTTGTCATTAGTTCACCCTAATGAAATGGCAGACACTGGCAGGCAGTATAGAGAAAGCAATGAACCCATTCCAAAACCTGCAGCTGTGATTGATTACACCCTCAATATGCATTCAGTGGACATGCGCTCAGTGGACAAATGTGACATGCAGATTGGGTTTGTTGATTGTGTTCACAAGAGTTATAAGTGGTACATAAAACTTTTTTTTCCATATTCTGGACATTTCCATGCTCAAT